GCTGCTCTCCCCTGGCACACACTCTGGTCGCGAGCTGGGGGGAGACGCCAGAGGTCGTGTTCACTTATACCATTTACATGGTCTTTCTGTGGCATCTATTTCCACACGTCTACAGGCTGAATGTGCGAGAGGTAAATGTGCACATAGTAGGACTGTACATCACAGAGATGTGTCTGACTTGCTAAAGAAGGTACAGGAAGGACAGCCTCGGCCACGAGGTCAGGAGGCAGGACAGAGTTCCCAAGACCAAGTGCTGTGTAAGCTGGGACTTCAGGAATGAGTAAGACTTGGGGGTCAGAAGAACACAGGGACATGGTGTGTCTGGGCAGTATGGTGCCACTCACACGTGGCATGGCAGAGAGGTGGGAGGTGCTTCAGACCCAGGACAGCCAGGCCTGCGAAGCACCGTGTCATCGTGCTAAAGAACTGGCTGTGAGGGCAGACATCATGGTAGCTTCTGAAGGTTTCGAAAGCAGGAGCGGGACCTGCCTCGGCAGTGTTCTAGACAGAGCATCACCTCCTCCTATGGAATGGCGTGGGCAGCACCGGGCATGGAGCACACGGGCACGTCAGCAGAGCCAGGCCAGAGTCAGTTGCTGCCTCCAACTGTATGACTCAAGGACAGACTCAGGCTATAACCCAAAACACATGAGAGGAAATGAGAGAGAACGGGGTCTCCACTGGGGTCATCCCACCATCCATCACGGTTTGACACGTCTTCCTGGTTCTAGGCTTGAGGTTTTTCAAGATTGGAGAATGGTCCCTAAAGGCATTTTAAACTTCCACTATCACTTCGCATTCAGGTGGTAAGGTTCCATTCCCAGCGGAATTTTGAAGCCATTGTTTCATCTTGTTCTGACAATGACCCTTGGAAGAGGGAAGGCAGATAAGCTTATCACCAGGCTACAGGCCACAGCCGTGCAGACAGGAGGCGGGGGCCTTCCTGTGGGCACAGGCCACGTCCCTTCCCTTCCCTCCACTCTTTCAACTAAGTTCTCAGTGGCAGTGACGGCTTGAGACCTAGTCCAGACACACTAATGTCCCACCCAGATCTGTTTCAATCCCAGACTTGAGAGGGGGCGGGAGGCCCAACAGCACCTTTGTCTAAATCCCTGGGTCAAGGTGGCCAGCCCTCCAGGGCCAGATGCAGGCTCACCTCCCCAAGTGCTTCTGGACCTTGTGTGCTCATTAAAACCACCTGGGGGGGCTGGGGTTGTGGCTCAGTGGTAGAGCGCCCGTGTCGCACATGTGAGACCCTGGGTTCAATCCTCAGCACCACATAAAAATAAACAAACAAAATAAAGATATTGTGCCCAGGTATAACTAAAAACATTAAGGAAGAAAAAACACCTGGGGCATTTTTTTTAAGGGAAGATACCTGGGTCCTCCCCAAGACTGATTAAATGAACTCTCAAAGAACGGACACTGAACACCGATAGTTATCAACATTTCCAGGTGATTCTAATGTGCAGCCAAATTGAGAGCCAGTGTGTATGGCAAATTAACAGTGTAGTGAGAACCAAATTAAACTAGGGGTTCTTTCCCTCTGAGGATATCTATGACCGCAGTCCCTCCCTCCCAGGTAGCCAGGGCCAAAACCCAGGGTTTGTCTTCAATGTCGCTACCATACTGGCAAATCTAATTGACCCTTCCTCCTAAATACATCCCCAGTCTGACTGATGACCACCCTCCTTATTTCCATCCAGGGACCCACGTGTGAGTCTTTGTGCATAGTAAGAGTCGGGACAAAGCAGCTTTGGACAAATGGTCAAAGTTCACAGACTATAAGGGTGGCTCCTAGGATGTTGGAAAGTTCGTGGAAAGGGATGCAGACCAGAACCTGGGTTGGTGGGCAGGTGGGGCAGTGGTTAGACCATAAAGTTAAGTCCCTTTACGCCAAGACTCGAGTTTGCTTCATGCAAAGTTCACCTCTGAAGGGGAAGCAGATGGTGATGAGTTAGATCCTTGTAGGAAACTGTTTGGGCAATTTATCTGGAGGGAGCCCAAGCTGGAATCTGAATCTCCTTCTCTAGTGCCCAAGCTCTGGTGGCCTTCCCATGAGGCACTTGCTCTCTGCACTGAACGCCTGATGGCCATGAGGACAGAAGAGATGCTAAGAGTTAGACGTGTCTAGCTGGAGGCTGGGGCAGGATGGTCACAAGTTTGAAGCCAGTCTGGGCAACTCAGCAAGTCCCCGTGTCAAAATTAAAAAAAAAAAAAAAAATATATATATATATATATATATATATATATATAAAAAGGGCTGGGGATGGAGCTTGGTGATAGGAATTCCTGGGTTCCCTCCTGAGTACGAGAGAGAGAGAGAGAGAGACAGAGAGAGAGAGAGAGAGAGAGAGAGAGAGAGAGAGAGAGAGAGAGAATATGAACAGAAACTCCTTTTACTGTTATGAATTCTCCATGTGTCCACTCCAGGGAAGAATAATTACAAAAAAAATAACATCAACGTATGGTAAGTCCCATCAAATCATGATGCAAATATTTAACTGCCAGAGAAAGAGGGCTACGGTTTGTCACTTTCTCAGGACAAGTGTGTTTTGTCCAGGCAAGGTCACTGCACAGCCCGCACCGTGGCTGCTTCTTCCCAGGCCTGTCTGCCTGTGGGCATGATGTTCACGTTGCCGACGTGCTCAGCTCCCCAGCTCCTTGCACACCAGCCACTCACACACCACCCCTCTCAGGCAGCTCTCTCAATCTCCTGAAAAAAGTGAACATCTTACCATCGTCTTTCCTGGTGTCCCTCCCCTATTGGCTCCTAGAATAACCCGCTGTGTCTTTCTCAACACTTACCACAACCTGGAAGTGAGGTGCAGGGGGCGGAGGAGTTCCGCCTCCCTCACTGACTGCGCGCCCAGCCCCTGGCACGTCAGAGGCCCTCTGTTAAATGTGGCTAGACAGCAAGAAGCTGGGGAGCAAGACGTAGATCCAAAGTCTGTTTACTGCAGTTAGACAGGCAGTTGTGCCGCAAAATACTCATCAACGTGAGTACACTTTGTCTCTAAGAAGATACTCGGCGTTGACATAAATGAAAACTGAAATCTTGACTGTTTGACAGTAAGGACAGACGCACACACATACACCACTAGCCGGATCTTTAATCCACACTCATAGGCATCCTCTCCATGGAGAATCCTGGCAAACACACATGCACATGCTAACAGGCCACTTACACGCACTCTGACTCACGCAGGGTTTGGGCAGTTGTCCACCAAGTGTGAGCACACACAGTGATTACAGAGCCAGCACAGATGTCACGAACTGCCTGTTGAGCTGAGCCCGGTGGTATCACAACAAAAGCTAAAACCGACCCTTCTAGGTCCCCCTTCTCTTAAATAACACCAGCACCCTGGAACTGTTCCAGTGCATTTATTTTACGACCTGTGTGGTTCTAATTCTGAGGAAAATCCCAGAGGAGCTGGGGCATCTACCCAACAATAATGGCTTTCCTACTTTTCTACAAGATGGTGCTTCTGACCTGTGATCATCAGCTAGGAAGGAAGCATAGCCAGCAGAGGATGTACCAACCCTCCTCCTGCTGCCGGGTGGGCGGGTCGGAAACCAGAGCAAAGCAGAACTGGTCCATGCCAGTGGCAACCCACAGTCCTCAGCAACTCATTCCCTGATGCCCCTGAGATAGGGTTGCCAGATAAAAGACAGGGCACCCAGTGCCATCTGCATTTCAGATGGACAATGCCGGGCAAAAATACTTCAACATACGTATGTCCCAAATGTTACAGAGAATAGACTTATGCTAAAAAAAATTCATTGTTTATCTGAAATCTAAATTTATCCGGCATTCTGTGCTTTTATTCACAAAATCTAGCAACTCTACCGAGGGAAAATCTCTGTGACGGCTTCTGCCACCCAAGAAACTTTAGACTGTTCTTTATTTTCCTATTATTAGTACCTACAAATATTTCAAGTAGACATACGTTCTCTATCAAACGGGATACTCATCTTTTCTCTCTATCACATTGTTTCTAATTTTGCTGACTAACAGTAAGATGTTACTATCTTCACTATCTTGAACTTTTCTCCCAAGAAACATCACCAATCCTACCATGATGGACTTGTCCTTTGCATATTCTGTTTGCAACAATCTCCATGAAACAGAAATGTTTAAAGAAAGTGCAGATTTGGCATTGGGACCCTTTAGTCAAACCACCCACCTTTCTTAAGATCCTTTCTAATACAAGCTCTCTAGAAAGTGAACGGATGATTGGAATCATCCTATCTTAACTCAAGAGAGTGCTGGGCCTGCAACCACTCCAGAAAGCTACCTAGGATTTTCACACTCCTGACTGCTCTTTTAAAAAAATCTGTTTTCTATCATGAAAAATGATCTAAAAATAGTTCCAATAACACGAGGATAAAACCATCTGTCTGATCTCTCCAAAAAGCTCATATTTCTATAGATTTTATCACTTTCCAACTGTTCCTACAAGTTCTGAAATGTAAGAAAGTCATGCCAATTTGGCAGATAATGCTCACTGAAATACTGAATTTAATCACTGATATTCCAATTATTTCATATTATTCTTTTGTATCATAGAAGGTGCAAATCAAACATGTCAAAATAAAAGAAAATGTAGACTCCATTAAAACTCATTACACGTCTTGTAAGTTGCATGAAAAACATTTGTACCAATAATCAATTGAAAAAGTGAGAAGCTGATTAAATAGACAAGAATCTTAAAACACTTGTCAAGTAAACTAAACATGGAATTTTTAATATCTAGTAATGTAATCCTTGATGTTTGCTTGAAAAATAAATTTCAATAGATGTTAGGTCACTCATTAGAACTGTCACATCAAAATTGGGTTCCATTTTATCTTTTTGGAGACTAAAGCTTTCATTCTATACAGTGAGGATTGAAATGGGGAAAGGCAAACTTGAATCAAAGAACTTCAGCGTAGTCAATGCGATCTGAAAACTTCCACAGTCTCAAAGATTGGGAAAAACCAAAGCAAAAGCAGCTGACCTTCACACCGTCGCTCTTGACCGGGATCCCAAGGTCTCCATTCAGAAGAAAGGCACTGGCGACTTCATAGGCTCCTTCCTGGTCCCAGAGGCTCACCCCTGAATCAAAAGAAAAGCAGCCCATGTTTTATTCTCCCAGGAGCAGGCTGGCATCACAGACTTATTTCGTAAAAAACACAGTGGAAATATCTGGAAGTTGAATAAGTACAGGGAGACACGGTAATCCATTAAATCATGGTAGGTGTTAGAACTGATGAATTCTCTGTCCATTTAACCAAGAAAATACCATACCTTAAAAAAAACAAATTTCATGTTGTCCTTCCAGACCTACAATATGTGCTGGGCTATTATCGCGGTCCAAGTGTTTAGGTCAGTCCTTCAACAAACAACAAAACTGCGCGAGCAGTGACTTCTTAAAATGATGAATTAACGTCTTACCTAAGAGCAGCTCTCTATTAAAAGTCTCCAGGCTTTAGCTGTATTAAGGCTAAATCCATTTACTTAAGTCCCAGTGAATCTGTTAAACACAATGCCAAAGCTCCTTTCCATACTTACGAAGTCTAATTTTATGAGCTTCACTAAGTGACTCTATAGACAAAATTAATTTGCCAGTTCAGACTGACTAGACTGGTTTATGTTTTAAAAAAAGTCAAGTCTTTCAATAAACTCTTAGGTGCTCTTGTTTCTTTGGGTCCTGTCACACCAGTTAATAGACCGACACAGGTTCAATTCAACCCCATTTCCATAAACAATCCTAATGGAAAGTATAACATTTTTCTCTTCTGGAGAGTATATCACTTTCCTAACAAGTACCGTCACTTCTCGGGCCTGCTCCCCTATGAGGTCATGCCCCTGCTATGCAGTGCAGCCGCGGTATGGCCCCCAAGGTAAAGGATGGGACCAGAGCCCCTCACATGGTATTCCCATTTCTTCATCCAGGACTCATAATTTTCAGACCTGAGTCATAATAGCACAGTTTTAAGTTACTAAAGAGTTCACATTTATTGGGCACAAATGGTATTGAAATTTTAATCCTAGACATTTTACAATTCCCCCAATACTTTTAAATCCACACCATGTTATCATTCTCGAAGTGGAAGTCTGCAGCTATAGTCAGGTTACAAAAGGATCGCCACCACAGTATTTACTGTCTGATGCAGCCTTTCCAGAAAATTCTCAAGCTGGTCGGTCAGAAGGCATTTCTAAACTCCTAGTCTTTGTGGACGGAGGGAACAGGGATGAACTGAAAGTCAGGCACACAGTGGAGGCAGAGGAATGAGCTGGTCTTTCAGCCATATGGGGAGGCTGGGGAGAGAGGACCATGGTCACAGGTGGATACGGAGGATGGTGAACAGTGCTCAGGGCTGGGACAGTGGATCCTCAGGGATAACTGTGTGCAAGAGATGAGGATCTAAAGTGCCACCAGACAGGGCTGGCTCCAGCAGGTGACACCTGTAGACACCACAGAGTTCTGCCTGGAGGAGAAAGAATGGGCCCTCTGGGTGGAAGACATCAGAAGCCCTTCCTCTCAGGAGACCTGGAATCAAGGCCCCTCCTCCCAGGCCTGAGCTGGAGACTCAAAGCCCCACAGGTAGTGGGACGGGGCTTTGCAGTAAGTGGCCCCATCTACTCTTGGCCCCCTGTTTGCTCACTCACCCACTCAGCAGGCAGGATGGCCTGCTTCAGGACTGCAGGCTCTGCTGAGGCTTCCCTCAGAACACCCATTATTGCTGCTTTGGACCAGCGCCTCCCCTGCTACCCGGCCAGCCTCTTCTGTAGGCTTAACCCACGGTGACCCTCATCTCCTAGCCACCCCTGGATACTCAGCTTTCTCAGGCCTGTGCATCCAAGACAGGGACACAGACAAGCTGTCCCCGTGACTGATATCCTTGTATCGGGTCAGAGACAACTAAATAAGCACAAATGGAGCATCCCTAAACCAGAAATATGAAATCCAAAATGATCCAAAATATGACACTTTTTGAGCCTGAAATGACACAAGTGGAAAATTCCACACCTGACCTCATGTGACAGCTCATGGTCAAAATGTAGGTGCACTAAAAATGTTTGTAAGGTAAGTTGTTTGTACTAGGCTACCAATATAAAGTGTATATGAAGTATGAATTAATTTTGTGTTTAGGCTTCATTCCTATCCCCAAGATACTTCATTATGAAGATGCAAATATCCCCACATCCACAAAACTTCTAAAAAATCCCAAACCCAAATGCTTCTTGTCCCAGGGGACCAGAAAAAGGACAGTCAACCAGCAATACATTTCAGAGCAGCCAGTGCTATGGAAGGGCAGGATGGTGTGAGAGGCTCCATACTTGAGACTCTCTGGCAAATCTAAATCATGTTAAGATAAAAAATTAATAAGAAATGGAGCAGAACAGGAGAGTGGTGGAGAATGGTCCTCTTGGTGGAGAAACCAGGAAGACCCTTGCTTTTGGTTGCGGATGGGGAGCACGTGAACTAAGACCTGAGGAGAACCACCCGGCCCCCTGGAGCCATGGGAAGGGCCATCAGCTGAAGGAGGCGGAGTTTTGCCTTCTCCTGCAATGAGGCAGAGTGTATGTGGCAAGCCCTGGAGATGGCCCATGGGATGTGCACAAGAGTACAGATCAGGCCCAAGGGCATTGCTCTCAAGGATTTGCCAGCACCTGGTCTCTTGCTTAGGACCCCGTGGGATTCACATGTGAGAGTGGTTTGGATTGTGTTGTGCAGCTGCTGAAGAGTCACACCACAGAGTGCAAAGTGCAACTAGATGCACTTATCAGAAAGCTCCATGGAATTCAAACTGGGTTAAAGCTGCTTTGAAATAGCAGCAACCACACAGTGAGCAGTGCAGATCCATCGGGACTCCCATCAACCACTGAGAACCACACCCTGCGCCCAGAGTGGCCATAGCATCTCACAAAGAAACTAGCTGAGTGACAAGCTACTCCTGGCAGTTCCGGGCTTGCAGCGGGAGTAAGTTGTTAGTTAACTGCTAATCCAGTGTCCAGGGATTTGTCAAATTGAGTGGAGGAAGAGATCTAAATGCAGCCAGGGTAGGACAGCAGGTTTCCAAGGACACCCCAGCCACTACACTGAAGGGTGACAGATGTCACCCCAGGACTCATTCTTAGAGGAAAGGTCTTTGCATCCTCCAGAACTCCCCTGGAAAGCTGCAGCAGGAGGAAGGACATGGAGCACGAACCCGGGGCGCCCGCGCAAGCTCCTGGTCCGCACCCATGCTGTGAAGGAAATGGAGGCAGCAACCCCACAGCTTGACTTTGGGGACACTAGGGAAACTTGGTGGAGCTTGATTTGGTCAGGCTGAGGCTGCACAAACCCTATGTTAAGAACATTCTGAATCCTCAGGACCCATTCATTCAAGGCAAAATACTGCAACCCCTGAGCATTTCCCTGTTCACCTACATATTCCAGCCTCTGAATCCCAGAGAAGCCCCTCTGGGCTCAAATGTGTTCCTCAAAGAGGCTTTATTTCTAAGTATTCCTAGGAGAATCTGAAGGCAGACTGGGCCAGCCCTTGTGGGACATTGTGCAACCCTTTTAAGAAATTGAGAAACTGCACTATTTGCTGAGCACAGTACTTATTATCTATGAACATGGATAATGAAGCCATCTCTCAGCTTTTTAATTGGTTGCGCAACATCCCCCCAGCAGTGTCTGCAGTCAGAGACTGTTTCTTAAGCATTTTGCTTATGTATTTATACACTGGTATTTCTTTTAGATAATGCAAATAAAATTTTTATTTGTGCTGCATGGATAGACAGAATAAATTCTGCACAGCTGTGAGATATCAGAAAGTAGTTTATGGAGTGATCTTGTTGACAAACCATAAAAGCAGGTCTTGAATGACATGCACATTCAAAAATACGACCTTATAAAATACTCAGTTTGCATACATTTTGTTTTTTATAATATATATTTAGGCACCAATGAAACTCACGGTTATCTAAATAAGAAATGTGGACAGCTTATCCTGGGGAGGGACCTGCCACTCTAGCTGCCGGGTTACCCAGGACTGCTCTCTGTGTTGATAAGGTGGCCAGTCTGTACTAGCCTCGCAGGGGGAAGAGCATAGGAGATATTTTGATTTTAAACACAAGTATCATCTGTGACCACCAGCTCCACTGTCCCACTGGGTGCTTTGCTCAACTCTTCATCTGAGCTTGTCATTAAGACTTCAGGCTAATTGAGAGATAGTTATAGTCATAGTTGCTCAGGGGAGCAGCTTTTGGTGATGGCTCTGATGTTTATGGAAAATATGACAAAGACTCCCCCCCCAAAGGAAGCCCCTCAAAGAGTCACTCAGAACCTGGATGCCCAATGGGTTCTGTCCCAACCCAGCCCCAGCCACTCTGCTCCAGCTAGTTCATGAAGGGAAGCATGGCAGGAAGCAGGGAAAAGTCCACAGCACCCCGATGCCCACCTAAGGGCTTCAGTTCACCAGAGATGGAGACTGGCAGAGCGGTTCTAAGATATACATGGTGAACCAGGAACATCTTGGAGCCGTGAGACCCGGCCCGGTCCCGACTCCTTCACTCATTGCCTTCCACCAATGTTTGCCTGGGAGGTTGGAAACTTCGGGGTTCCATTCTCTCTCCCCTTATGATTCTCGTTGAGTTAAACACACCCCCATAAAGCCAGCATGCAAAGGGCCTTCTAAAGGCAGAGTACATGAAATCAGCCCAGGGTATCAGAATCCAGCCAAGCTCCTGCACTTGGAGGCAATGTGTGTGGGACTATTGTTGGGAAAACCAGGAATTCCTGGGTTTAGGTGCAACCCCACGGGCCATCAAAAAGACAAACTCCTGATGAGAATATTGTTGTGCTGTCAGGGGAAATCATTCCCAGCACCAACATAAACCTTAGAGAGAGAATTCATCAAAGATGCCAGAAGTGGACTGAGATGATTTTTTTTTTAATCTAATGGAAAAAAGTTGAAGCAGCCATTTAGACCTGCAAAAGAAGCCAGTGTCCAGGCCTCAGAAACTCATTTACCTAAACGAAACCACATAGAATTGACGGAGCCATCCGGTTTCAGGGTAACCTAGTGGCAATGCACCCATAGAGGCAAAATTGTGCCTGG